CCCCAAAACCCCAAAACCCCAAAACCCCAAAACCCCAGCCGAGACTACAAATTGCCATATAAATATTAACAATAACTAAACGTTAATTTCAAAAATGAATGCAGAAAAGCTGAGTGTCCGCTATCACACTGATACTTTTACGCACCAAGTGTCCACCGCTCCAAGCCAGACCGAGCTTAGTCCCAAATTGCTTGCCTATGATAGTATAAGTGGCATAGATACTCATAGGTCTAGAAGGATGAACTCGAGTTCTAACAACCAGAAGATGAGAAGCCTTCAGAATAAGTACCACTTGGATAAGACAAACAACACGACTACGACTATCACTCAGTATACATAAGTTTCTCTCACCAGAACAAATCGCTCTTCAAAAATCTGCCGATGACTAGTACATTGCAGATGGAATCTACCTTGACTACCAAGGAGTCGCAATGCCTATCTGAAATAGGCAAGTGCAAAGGCTGATTCCAGGAAGTTTTGAAATAAGTTCACTAAGCAGAGACAGTCCTCCCTCATGAAGCTTGAAAAACAGAAAGATGAGAGTCTCAAGAGAATCCGAGATATGAGCCGAGATCTTAATATTAATAACAAGCTCCAGAAAGTTTCTTTCAAGATTAGTTCCCGCAATAAGACATCTCTGTTAAGCTCAAAGTCTCCTAAGCTCAGGAAGAAAAGCTCGAAGAAGCAGATAATCGCAACCTCAAAGATGGTCTCCAGAGATGTGAAGAAGAGGAAGGATTCATCCAAATTAGGAAACAATTATCATTCAGTTGATTCTAATCCTAAGCTATGCTCTAAAGGTATCGACCAATGTAATTCTCGAAAAACTTACAAGACAAAACATATCCTTTCAAAAGAGAGGAAGCAGAAGAATACATCCTGTATCGAGAAAAAGTATTCTAGTAAAGATCTCAAAACAAAGGGGCACCAGAAGGCATCTTCAACTGTTACTATCAGTATCAATGACAGCCATAAGCCAGATGTGAGGAAGAAGCTTGGCAAGAGTAATAATAAGAAGTCAAGAAAGGCCCTCTTCAAGGTCAGTAGCAACACAGCAAGTATGGATAAGCACAAGTTCAATGATTCTTGTATCAAAGGACACAATTGTATTAATTTTCCGTAATTTTTAGATCTGGTTTTCAAACGTAGTTCCCAAGAAGAGTCCTCAAACCTAAAATTATCCAGCTTGCAAGCCCAGCTCGAGCAGAAGAAGATTATGAAGTCACGTAAGAAGTTCAATAGCCAAGAGAAATCCTTGAAAGTGCGCAACCAGAAGGATATGAAGAGCCATTACATGAAACCTCGGAGCAGTGAGTCCTTGCTATAATTATTCCTATTTTCTGTTGATTAAATTTTATTTTAGAAAGAATGAAGGCGATTTCGAGCAAAGTGAGCCCTGCTAATCGAGAAGCCACCAAGTAACCCCTATCGTCTAAAATTTAGAAACCTGAAAGGGTTAAAACTCAAGAAGTTGAAAAATAAAGACAGTCAACGTAGTCCATGTGCTTTAAAAATCGGTTTTAAATGTAGACCGTTCCTCGAATCCGATCGGAGCGGAAAAGAGAATGCCAAATATCAGCCTAAGAGAGTTCGGAGAAATAGAGATGACCGTAAGAAACAAACTGAGGGAAAGAAGTTGCATAAGTTATGTGACCACTCTGTTGAAGGGAACAAGAAGCAGCGCAACCATCCTCTCAGCCACAAGACGTCTCAAGCTTTTAGCCCGCATCGGGCTTTAATAAACCTCACTGGGAATTGTTTGAAGTAACTCCCGAACTTTACTAAATTACTGAATATAATATTCTCGTTTTAATTGATAGCTTTTATTCGACTCAATAGTCTAATCAACTTGAATATAACCTCAAGGGGTTTTGGGGTTTTGGGGTTTTGGGGTTTTGGGG